AGTGTGAAGCAGAAGAGACCGTCCAGTTCATGCCTAGCCCTCGCTGGGGCCTGGGCGCCAGGGACTTGGAGAGGGACAGTCTTCTGCAGAGTCCTCTGGAAGAACTAGGCCCAGGCAGCCTGATGGAATGGGTCAGAGGATGCGTTATTTCCAGCAGAGGAAGACGAGGTCCGTGGGAGAGGGAGCCAGGCCAGGGCGTGGTGAGGGGCGCAGGGGCGACTGGGTCACGAGCAGGCCTCTCTGCGTCCAGCACCTGACTGGCCAGGGTGTTTCCACGTGGTCTCAGTGCAGCGCTTGCAGTAGCTCTGGGACATGGACGGCCCTGAAGTAAGATAGACAGGGGCGGAAATGTAGAGGGGAGACACAAAGGAAGGACAAGGAAATAACAAATTGAATCCAGAAGTTCTAGAGACTTTCCCAGGCCAGTCTCTCTCCCAGGACCCCTCGCTCCAACATGTCTTGGGAAATCTGTAAATCCACCTGTTCACTGTCCGTCAGCCCACCAATAAAGAGAGAAAGCCAAGAGAGACGATGACGTTTGGAGAAACCTATCATTTAGGGGACCTTGGAACTCATCCACTGATCAGATCATGGAGACCACATCAGCCTGACCACCGTGAGCCATCTCATGATCGTCAGACTGATGGCATCCCCACATACCTTCCCATGCCCACCCCTTCCCAAGTTTCTTCTCAAAGGGACCCCGAAAACACATCTCTCTCTCTCTCTCAAGATGGCCCACAGTCTCCCTTGAATGTGTCTTTCCTGCTTTCCTAAATAAATCTCTGTGCCTTTATGACATGTGCTGACATTTTCCCATCACATATGTCATGGACCCCAGCTTCTCCCAAGCTGAGCTTCCCCTCACTTCCTGGGAACTCCTTGGGACCCTCTTGCAGAGATACCTCTTCTCCCATGACAGCCCCATTCTAAAACTAGAGGCAGCTGAGTGTCCTGTGTGGGTTAGGAGTCAGACCCTGGGTTTGGGGCTTCATATCTAGTGGCGTTGTCCCTCCCCTCCCAGGAGCCAGGAGCTCAGGCTGATGGATGGATGGCCGAGGTGCAGGACGGCGGTGGCAAGGGAAGAGCATGGATCAGAAGGAATCAGAGTGCCACAGCAGAGGGGCAAACCCATGGCCATGGCAGGGAGGGAGCCAGCAGTTCACAGCTGTGTTTTGTTTGGCCAACACAGGTTTTTGGGGTTGCTTTTGGCCTTTTGTTTTGTTTTCCTTGAATGTGATGGCCCTGGGCAGGGCATGTTTTCTCCAGTTAGCCGCAGGCCCCACCATTCCTCATGAATTGCACCAAGCCCTGTCTCCTGCAGCCTTGGCCTGTGCAACCCCCTGTCTGCAGGGTCAACGGAGCAGAATCAGGCTTTCTGTCACCATGCCACTCTCCATCAGGATTTCCCCATTCCTAATTGATCCTTTCTGGAGCACACTTGGCAAAAATAACCTTTAAATTCAGTGAAAATGATTTCACTCCAATTGCCAAGCCATCTTTATTAGTCATTCCTGATAAAGGGGAATTATATATATATATATATTTGTATGTTTGTATAGATACATAACACATACCTATACAAACCCACACATATATACATACACACATATGTGTATGATAGAATTTAAGTGAAGTAGTATTTTCTGAAAATGCCCGTGCTACTAATTCTTTGTAAAATTTGACTACTCAGTCTTAATTGGTTTCTTACCCTTTTACGTCCATTTAGTTTTGTAGCCTCTAATAGATTCTGATATCATTTTGAGGCTACCTGAATTAATTTCCAAGTAGCTCCCAAGTAGCTCAGTACTTTCAAATCTGACTTTGTTTTAGATGCAGTAAAAGCAAAATGAAAAGGCAGGAAACATAAGAAGTTCATGAATCACACAGAACTGCTGGCTTTAGTAAGCTCATTTACTGTGACACAAGGCACCAACATCATTCTAACTGAGGAATGTTAAGTTGCACACCTCAAGTCCAGCATATCAAGGAAGGGTTTTCTATTATTATTATTTTTTGGAAATGACATCAAAAGAATCTCAAACTCTTTATGCTTGCAAAGGAAAGCCGACCAACTTGTCCCTCAGTTGTCTCTGCTCTTCTCCAGCCCGTAGGTTCTGGAGATTTTCCAGCAGCCCCGCTGCATTTAATAAGCAAATTCAGAAACTCTGGGCAGACCTCCAAAATATGAGGTTTTGCTTAAGTTCCCTTTATTTGTTGGTTTGTTTCAACTTCTAAAAAATCTGGCTGGGAAATTGGTACAATATATTTCAGTTACAGCAGTGAAATGTAAGTAATAATATTTGAAGAGATATAATTTTGAGACTTTCTGATAACACAGCTATCAGAAATATAGTTAATCTTAGCTGACGTATTAAAGAATGTTAATATAGAGTAGGGAAATTTATTTATTTTAATGGTAGATAATTTTTAATGTATAGGGTTTCATCCATATAAAGTTCCATATTAAAAAATCAAAGGCTTGCTTTATATGATTTTATAACTTAAAAATGTTAATCTGTATGGACAGCAAAGGCTGTTATTTGCAAAGTTTCCATGACTTTTAGAAAGTTTTTAGTTAAAATTTTGGCAGAAAGTGGATCTATAGCTTTACCATTAACTTCCTGGTTGTTACCCTACTGCTTCATGGTTGTTTTATTATACTTCTAAAATAAGATTTTAATTTCAAGAAAGGAAAACCTATGTGTTACATAACGGGTGGCATTAACTCTTTATGTGAAAGTCTGATTTTTAAAACCACAGCTAATACTTCAGCAGCCTCAGGAATTTGTATCATTGCTGTTAGGGGGTGATTTTCTCCCCCTTCAAAAATAGATTTAAATAAACTTCAAATCAAAAGCCTCAACAATTAAACTCAAGGAGATTATTAACATAATAGCAGAAGTTAATTTGCAAGATAATTCATATCTTTATTTAGGAGAGCAGGGTTTATTTGGAAACTGTATGCCTGGCTTCAGGGTCGCATGTAATATTAAGAAACTGTCCTTTGCTGTTCTAAAGTCAGCACTTTAGAACATGAGGAAATTATTTATTCCAGTTATGAAAAATTAGAAAATATGTAATTAGGAAGTGAAAGTAAAAGCAGTTCCAAAACTCAGGATATTAATATCACAGGATGAATTTTCATGAGGTCTTCATCTCCTAAAAATCCTCTAGGTGATCTTATTTTTCAGAGTTAAAGCATAAACATGACCATCTGTTGGCCATCGTGAAAAGCAAACATGTAAGCAGGTTGTCAGAGGAGACACCTTTAACTAAAACTCTGCCTGACAATCTCCTCCTCTTCCCTTATACCCTTTCTCCATGAAGTACCTTGATCTGGGCCCTGGAAAGAATAGGACATGGGGCAATTGACATGCGTGAAGTCCTGTATCCCTAAGTCTTGTTTTGGGAAAGGGGCAAAGAGAGTCCTGGAAATTGAACCCAGGGCCTTGCAAGAACCAGGTACTACCACTGAGCCCCGTTCCTGGCCCCCATATAATCCTTCTAAGTGAACTTCATTTTGTTTCAATATAAAACCCAGCAGCTATGTAAAAGGAAAGAAGAAATCCTAATCCTTAATTTTCTACCTCACCAAAGACAAAAGTGATCAAGGTGTTAGTCTCTAAAAGTTTCAAATCTTAGTCTTGAGTGTAGAGCCCTTATTGATGTCGCCTCACAAACCAGGACACAGACCCAGTGCAAGGTCACATGACAGAGCCTCCGTGGTCAAGTGGTCCTGGAGCAAAGGATGCAGAAAGTGCCTGTTGTAGGCAGCATCCTTCCCTTGGTAGAAGGCCAGTTTCTGAGAATATCTGATATTTGAACTTGAATATAAAGATGTTGCTTTCTAATGCCAGCTAGATTATGTGGGCTTTGGTTCTTCCAGTTGTGAAAAATAAAAATATGTTTTCCTGCCTCTGAGGTATTGGCAAGTTAACATTCATAGAGCACTTGATGACCAGCCATGTAGTGTTATGGTTAAGAAACAGGCATTGAAAGCAGACAGACCTCAGTCTACAGTATCCCTACTCCACCATTTATTTATTATGCATTTGGGCACATGGATCAACCTCTGGTCCAGTTTTCTCATCCATAGAACGAAAATAATATAATGGTTGTATCCTAATGTCGGTGTCAGAATTAAGTGAGCAAAGTAATAATGCATACCTGGTACATAAAAAATTTTCTTCTTTTGTGTGGGTATATGTGGAAGTGTTTACTGGTAGGTAACTACCATATTTATTCATTAATTTCAAATAATTGGGATTTTGTATCCAACCTTGTAATCAGTGTGTGAGCTTAAAATATTCAAGGCCATGTATCAGCTAAGATGCTCAAGCTGTTTTCATCCTGGCAATTTGTATGTCTGTATTCCTTAACACAGTTCCAAAGGACGGCCTCAAATGCCAGGCTGCATTTGAAGAAATGAGGGCAAATTACATCAAAGAACTGAGGAAGATGGTAACTAAGTGTCCCAACAACTCCGGGCAGAGCTGGCAGAGGTTCTACCAACTGACCAAACTTCTAGACTCCATGCATGACGTAAGTACAGCCCTCGGTTTCTCTTCAGTGAAGGAGCAACACACACACACACACACACACACACACACACACACACACACACGCGCGGTACAAATCTGGACAGCTGAGTATTCAGGGCTTTGAGATGAATGAGGGTAAAGTGTTCAGAGAGAGGCAGCAAGAGTTAAAATCTGGTTAAGGAAATTTTTCTTTGCATAATCTTTGGAAGAAACCCCATTTATAACAAAGGGTATGGCTCTGTGCCCTGGACCAGGGAAGGTCCTCAGATCTGCTACAGGTGTCAGATTGAGTTTCACATTTTTTGCTTGTAATTTAGGATATGTTTGGTTAACAAAAATGTTTGCCTTAACGTTGCATAAATAGTGTCCATCTTCTTCTATAACTGTTAATCTAATAACCCAATCTTCCAAAAACATTATTAGTGGTACGGGGCCAGTGTGGATCCTCTCAATCTTTGCCAAATTTTGAATCCTATATTCATTATTCTTCCTTGCCCTATATAAATACAGAAAATAGATGATGAGGTCGTTTCGGATTTAATCAATTAAAGATGTAGTTGGGGTGTGTGTTAGCACTTTCTATAGAATATTGGTTTGGGTAACTTGCTTTGTGTGGCGTTGAAAAATATGCTTTTGTTTCACTTTACAAGCAGCTTTTCTGACTCTCGCTTAAAGGACGTTGGTGTGCAGTCATGCTAAAATAGTTCTGCATATTTGTAAAATTTCCGTACTTTCTTTTAGAAAAATTATTGTCCACATTCGGCCTATATGATTTGAAAAGAAATTTTTTCAAATATTTTCTATGAAGGAAAACTTGGTGACCAAAACTCTTCTAGCGCTTCTATAGAAACAGTGATTTGTTCTTTAGAGGTGAGTTTGTGTCAGTAGAATGTCACCTCTCTGTGATGCTAAAGGCATAGAGTTAATTGGAAAGGAATGTCACTTCCAGGTGTTTTACCCTGAGACTCTTGCATATCATGTACGTTGTTTGCCTGCTCTGAATTTCTCATAGGGCGAGTTGTCTCCAGGATGAATTCAGTGATCAGTACCTTTTACTACTAAAAAGGGCTTTAGAGAGTGTAGTTTAGTACAGAAAATCTTGGAAATCAGAGATGATGGTAGGTGAGGCTTTGGGGAGTGCAGCCAACGACGTTCCCCATGACTCACACCCAAGGCACAGGAAACGGTGGCCACGTCTTCTCACGCGTTCGGTGTTGAACAGAGCTACACATCACAGCCGATGCATTGCCTTTCGTGGTGATTTTTCAAGGTGTTCCTTAGGAGAAATTCAAATGGGGCTCTGTGGGTCTTTCTTTACGCATTCTCTTACTTGGCTGGCACAAGTGCAATATCCACACCAGCATGGAACCATCCTCACCACACATGATGGTAAAACAATTTGCAAGTATGAGGCCTACAACAGAAGTTAAAACTTGTTTCTTCCACCCCTTTCTGAATCCGTGTGCCTTGAGCAGGACGGCACAGTGCCGGCAGTGGGAGGCCACCCACTGTGGTCCATGCAAGACCTCTTCTGCTGCTTGGTTTTCAGCACCAGCGCAATGCTTGATGCAAGTTAGGAACCCAGTGAAGAGTTGTCAAATGGCTGTGTCAAAATGTTGATTTACTGTGAAACTTCCCAAGGCAAATTAGTATCTTTTTGGTTTATAAAAATAGAAGTATAGTTGATATACAAGAACCTGAACAAATTTAAAGCACACCACTTGGTAAGATTGGACATATGTACAGAACCATAAAATGGTCACCACTATCCAGATAGTGAGCATATCCATCACCCCAAAAGTTTCCTCCTTCCTTGGTTAGGCCCTCCTCATGCCTCCTGCTCCCAATTCCTTCCTACATTGCTTTCTAATATAGTTTCCTAGCATTTCATATGAATGGTATCCTGGAAGGACCTTTTATCTTTTCCTGCTCGTCTTTCGCTGGGCATAATTCATCCATGCAACGGTAAACCTCAGTAGTCCGGGGGAGTTTCTGGTTTGGGATTTTGTTGGTGGTGTTTTTGCTAAGTGTCATCCTGTTGTGTGTGTATCCTACAATTCTTTTTTTAACTACATGGACATAATACCTTTATTTCATTTATTTATTTATTTTTATGTGGTGCGGCAGATGGAACCCAGGGCCTTACACGTGCTGGGCAAGCGCTCCACCACTGAGCCACGACCCCAGCCTCAATTCATTTGTTCAGTCACCTGTGGATGGACATCTTAGTTGTTTCTAGCTTGAGGCCTTCACAGATAAATCTGTGATGAACATCTATGTACAAGTCTTTGCCCAGACACAGACTCTCCTTTTTCTTAGGGGAACATCAAATCGTGGAATACCTGGTTAGTATCGTGGGTATATATCCATTTTTAAAGAAAAGGCCAGGATGTTTTCCAAAGAGTGGGTGACAGCTCACACCCGGGCTACACTTAGTGTGGCGAGTCCTTTAGGTGTGGCCACTCCAGCGGAGTGCGGGGCTGTCTCCCGTGGCTTTTACTTTGCATTTCCCTAGTAATGGATGATGCCGTCTTTTCATATTCTCATTTACCATCTTTATGTCTTTGGTGAGGTGTCTGTTCCACTCTTTGGCTCATTAAAAAAAAAATAAAATAATGACCTGAATCGACCTGAAGACCTCCCCATCTCTCAGAATTTCCACTACCTCCTGTTTGTACCACAGGCTGGGGACCAGGCCTTTACCACAGGGACCTGTGACAGTTGGTGTGAAAAATCCAGAAGACCCAACTATAGCAACAAAGTGCGTTTGATCGTTGCTCACTTTTATGGGTTGTGTTTCCGCGCTGTATCTCATGAGTCCTGATGTAAGCCATTGTCACAGAGCCTTCCTCCCGTGTGTTCCTCTAGCATCTTTGTCACTGATACCCAGTGTCTTAGAAACCATTCTGTCATGTTCCTCTCTGTTTTACCTGAGCATTCCACTTTGATTGGGAGGAGATCAGACATTTTGAAATTATTTGAATTCTTCACTTTTATTTTAAACAAGTAAAAAAAAAAAAATGTTTGATCTTAATGTAGCCTAACAGGAGCCTCTTGCATACTCTCTATTTCTATTCCAGAGAGAACCCTGAAAAACGCATGGTGAGCCCAGAGGGGCCTTTCTAGCGTTCACACTTACTCAGTCTCTGGACCGCCTGCAGCTTTCTCATTAGGGTCAATTGGTGGATCAACGTTCGCGCCATCTTCTTCAGAGAAGCCAAGGGCCACACCACTCACTGGCCGTGATCTTAGAGCCTAGTTCAGGCCACCTAATGGGAAAGAGAGCACTCGTTTCTAAGGGTCACATAAATAAGAGCCATCCGAATGCCGATCACAGTTCTGCTTAAAGAGCGTGTGTGCCGTGGACATGGTGGTGCACACCTGCAGTTCCTTCAGCTCAGGAGGCTGAGGCAGGAAGGTCGTGAGTTCAAAGCCAGCCTCAGCAACTTAGCAAGGCCCTAAGAAACTTAGTGAGACCCTGTCCTAAAATAAAAACTAAAAAGGACTGGGGAAAAACAAACAAATAACCAAAAAAGCAAACAAATAACAACAACAACAACAAAGACAGGAAAAAAAAAAATGCTCATGGTGTGCTGGCGCCCAGAACACAGGTGTACAGCTGTCAGGCCCCCGCAGATTCCTTCCACGTGGTGCACATGTGTGTTGGCAGAACAGTGCCAAGGTGGGTGAAAGGAACATTCTCTGAAAGAACAGCTTGACAGTTCAGTGTTTCAATTGGCCAACAGCTTTGATGATCCATGAGCCCTGGGAACATCAGTCTTCCCCTAGGAAAGCAGCTGTGTTCGACCCTCCTGGGAGTGGATGGAATTGTGCTCTGTCAGTGTCTGGGCGTCAGGTGCAAAGCGTATAGACTCCTTATCCACTAGACAGAATTGATAATGGTCACTTTTAGCTATTACTAGGAGTGGCAGTTAATTTCCTTCGGGTGTAAGAAGCGCATGTCTAATGAATCTGTTACTAACTTCTGTTCATTCTTAGAGATCAAGAACTGTTTATGTCACGGTCAGTGTATAGAAGAGTAACTACTAAGGATGATATTAATGACATCTCTTGAGGCAAACATTGTCCTTTTTCTATTAAACGGCATATGAATGCAGTTTTATTTTGGGATATACACTTGGCAAAAAAGTGCCTTATGCCTAGCAATATAGACAGCGCTACAGAGAAGACAAAATAAGCCGATGACGCTGTTGCCCCCGCCCCCGCCCCCATTAGTCTGGATTCCAGAGAGGCAGCTGGAGCACACGGCAGAGCAGAAGGTTCAGGAGCCCAGATCGGTCACCTGGGTGGTTGGGCCCTGAGAGCACATGGCTGGGCACTGGTGCATTCATTCCTCTGTGAATGAGCCCTGACCGTGTTCTGAAGGTGCAGCTGTGAATGGAATCCTGTCCTTAGGGACCTCACTTGTCGGGTAGAGAAGGATGTCCTCCATGCTGTTGACAAACACATGTGTGTCTGAACTCTCAGGCCACCTGGGCGGGGGAGACCTAAGGCAGGGCAGGCAGACAGCGGCCAGAAGCCACAGGGCAGCACACTCGGAGCTCAATAGCACACCACGAGCAGCGAGCTCTTGGGCATTCGTTCTAGGTCGACCAAACCTTGCATTGAGGGTGTGGCAGCCAGCTGCGCTGGGCAGGGGCTTGGAAGACTTCCTGGCGTGTCAGAGAACTCATTTGTAGGAGAAGACACAGAACTGGGAGAATGGGTTCTCGGGGTTCCCGGGTGCTGGTGGCAGCTGGAACCTCCTAGACTCTCGGGTGTAGTGCTCCCAAGACCGCCTAGTGATGGGGG